TGATGTGCCTGTCCCTCATCAACGATAGTCCTGTAAATCACGAAATTTCCAGGGGAGAGGGTACACTTGACAGTCTATCATAGGTAACCACACGGAACTAAAATACTCCAGAATTCTTTAATTCTGATAGGGATTATACGTGTTTGGCATCATGGGGGGGGACAGGAGAGAAAATTAAAAAAATATCTAGCAAAAAAACCAGGAAAAAGCGGAAAAATATTGTAATATGCTTACATATAGCAAAATGAGCGCGCAAAAATTGAAAAACAAAGGAAATTGAAAAAATGTCAAATCATATTAATTGACAAAATAGTAAATAAAAAATAACCATTACCAGTGGTTCCTTAGTACACAATTCTGGGGTTTCTGGGTTCCATGGTGTCACCTATAATATATTGTTACCGAGGTACCTACTCGCGTCTCTTTGTCTTAACTCAAACCTTAGCCGCTACCGTACTCTTAACCTTAGCTCTATCCTTAAGACTAACTCCAGTTCGATTCCCGTGAGCTGTCATTTATCCAATTGTTAGAAAATTACGTTTCTTAAACGAACATACGATGTTTGGACGGGGGGTGACCACTTATCGCGAAGGGCTATCAGGACCTTCGAAACTGACAACGCAGCGAAAACCTGGGACACGCGCTGCGCTGATTTTCCGTCGGTGCATGAAACAGCTGCGAGGAATTTGACCCACAGTTGTATGCTTCTAACTGTCTGTTAGTAGCTCATTAATGTTTATCGGTTAACCCACCGAAATTGACGAATTTAAGCTTAAATATCCATGTCAATTCTTTCGGACGGATCGGGAAGACGTGTGACCCAAAGGAGGTGCAATCCTTTTATTTCTGAGAAGCTTAAAAGTCTGAAATAATTGCACATGCCGGCATGAAGATAGGCCAAGAGTTGATTGAAACCTGGGTATCTGATCGTACGGACTTTTCGTCCGCATACAGGGCCCTGCGCAATTACCCCAAACCTGCGATAATACTTATTGATTAGCTATTGACCACTATAAATTTCATTCGTTCTGTTGCAGCCGACACCTTTGGTGATGTACTCTTGTGCGAGTTCGAAAAGTCAGAAGAACAAATAAAAAATCATTTTTGTGGTTGATCAGCCGCCTACTTCTGTAACATTACCGACCATGTCGAATCGTTGTGTAGCCCCATTTGCTCTTTACTTCAAGAAATAGCTGATTATATCAGTTGGGTAGGAATCTGGTTTAGCTATCGTACAGAAAGCCTGTGATTGATGGTATGAAGCAAGGGACTCTGCATACCAGCACTCCTTTCCTTCAAAAGCCTCTGATGATGATTAACCCTCGGCTCAGGGTTAGGGTTATGGCTTACAGCCAATTATTCATCGCAAAGGTTAGCTTTAGGAGTTTGACTTGTGGATTTATATTTTAGTTAAATGGTTAAGGACTAGTGGTTGGGTTTAGCGGCTAGAAATGAAGAAAAGTGGTTAGCTTTAGGGTTCAGGATTAGTGATTAAACCTCGAAGTTCAGGGTGACGGCTATGGGGTTTAGCATTAAGGGGGTTAGTGTTAGGGTGTTACGTTTAGGTTTAGGTTTATGAGTTTAGGGTTAGGGGTCTAAGGCTAGAGGCTTGAAAAAATGTAAGGTTTTAAGATTAGGTTTGTTAGCTTAGTTCAACTCACGAGGACTAGCACAGAAGTCCCATATCCTTGGTACTAACTTGCGTCAACTGTTTTTTTTTCGATTTTAATTGATTTATCTTTCTTTTTAATGTTCTACTTATATTTTATATTAAATAGGGGTATTTTTTTACTACTTCGTGTTTTGATTGTATTTGCGCTCATTTCAGTTTTTCGGCTGCATTTAGTCGCACTAAATAACCAGTTCCGTCTTCTTCATATTTAAAAATTGCGCACTAGTCGTTGTTGTACTTAAACAAAATAATGGTGTAAGTTAAATTGTTTTGGATTTCATTGCAAAATGTGTTGTTCACTGCTTCCTTTAGCCCCATCTTCTCCATAATATCTTTACTACGACTAAGTCCGTATTACAAACATCTCCCTTTTTGCGTGGGTTCACACATCCCGTCCTTGCCGAAAAGTCTTTTTAATTTATGTAGCTGAAAGTTATGTCGACCAGGTGTTACCCGATAGAGCACAAACTCAGGAGGTCCAGGCCTCGATGCCCACGACCCATAATTCAATTTGTTCAAAAAATAAATATTTATGATGAAAATGGACTTACGTGGTCTGTCCTCTTCATTACCCTCAGCTGCTGCCGGCGGTGGAATCCTACTGTGGGCTGGTCTGAAAGCCTCACCAAACAGAGCGCAAAGATCGAGTAACTTGGCGTCCCCCTTGTCCGGTCGACTGCGATAGAGCTGCCAATCAATGCGCACATCTGTAATATAGATGCGGGATGGGTGCTTGGGTTTAACCTGAGTGCTCTGCTTCTTCTTATACGACAGTACGAAATGACTTCCACAGAAACCTGTCTCTGCAGGGTGGCACACAGGCTTAACCGAAGACGATATGCATGAGGGGGTGGGAGATGAAGCAAGGTGAGAAATTTCCTGGCGTTTCGAACAGCAAATTGGCAGTATTATATTACCCATGTGCTGACATGTTACTTATTTTCTTTTGGAGGCGATACGGTTACGATGTTCGTCAGTTGCTTTTTTCATGCCCTTTTCTGTGAAACAATGACCGAGTATCTCACGTTCTACGGACTTTTGCCCGGCCATCTAGCCCTTATGGGCACGGTTCTGTATGACGTAATTCGAGATGAGACTTATCACTCATGCGTTTATCAAAATGTTATGTAGACGTGTTTAACCAGGGGACTATTGACCGACGGTCAGATCCCCAGAAACTGCAGGCGGCGTTTAAGAGCGAATACAAGAAGGCCCACGACTGCCGCCTAAAGCGTGCACTGCTTTTCTGTCGTTGACATCGCAAAGGTCAGAACTTGTGAGCTTTCTGAACGGGTGGAGTCCGACTGTAGCGTTTAAACCGATGGGATCGTTGTAAGAACAACAACAACAACAACATGGGTTATGCAGTTTGGTTCATTCAGCCAAATTAAGTTAGCTTTTGGTATAGTAAATTTGACTGCCGTTCCTCTAACCCTAAATCAGTCGTACGACGTGGAATATTCATTATTGCGAACTGTATAGCGCTTTTTTTATGAGTAGCTGCGCTCGCGTATGAAAAAAAGGTCCAGTCTTCAGGTGGTTGGTCAACTCATAAGCTTGGATGCGGTATTTCTCAGGACTGATAGCCGGACTCAGTCACATCAACGTGGAATTCGAATCGCTCTTACAGCAACCTCATATGCGTAGTAGGTATAATGTCGTGTATTGTACGCCTAGACGAATGCTTTCGCTCTACCTACTATCCGCAGAACTCCGTCTCTGCAGGGTGGTACACAGCCTCAACCAAAAACGGTGGTGCATGAAAAGTTTGAGAATGAAGCAGGGTAATAAATTGCCGGGCGTATCGAACAGCCAATTCTGCTGTTAACTGTCAATGGCGGTTGACTATAATGGAACAGACGTAAATTGTAGTACGTTATTGCTATAGTTAACCTCGTTCCCGATTGATCTTATTTTATGTTTTGGTTGCCTTGCTTAGTAAGTGCAAACCCTCTGGAATGCGGACGGTGCTGGTCGAACCTGTTGAGAGGGGGGGGGTTTCTAAGTCCGGCGGCTTTCCAGGTCGGACTGTTTTCTGTCGGCCAAACAGGCGGTGATCCGCCAATCCAGGCTTCTTACCCCGTTTTTTCAGGGTATTAGCACAAAAACAGATGAGCTGAAAGGATTTCGATCTGACGGCTTAGGTCGTTTGGTCATCTATCTTCACAGGTCGAAGGACTTGTGACGGAGTCTCAAAGTCAACATCGGGGTGTTCTTTGGAAAACTACTGAGTGTCTAGCCGCAGACAGTGGCTCCTTCTCAGTTGTGTCACTCACCGTCAACGTGTAGGCATGCTTATCTGTAGGGGTTTCCGAAGTCCAGCGAGCGTCGCGGAGATCCCTTTGACCTGAGGGATGACCCTCCAGAATTCACGTTGAGCTCATTTTGACTGCTGTCCGTTCCTGTGGTGATGTTTTGGTTGAAAACATTGCTTTTGTGTGGTTTACATCGCAAAGGTCAGAACCTGTTACCTTTCTGAACGGATGGAGTCCGACTGTAACGTTCGAACCGACGGGATCGTTGTAAGAACAACAACATGTGTTATGCAGTTTGCTTCATTTGTTCCAGTTAATTCGGTTAAGGCAGATAATATTGCCGGCAAAGAATAGGGAGGTTGGAATGACCATTTCTGGCTTATTACCCATCGTGAGTCAGTCTAGTGGCGTCCCAACCGAGCCTCGAACGCGCAACCTTTTTTGATCAGAGTCAAACGCCCTAACGATTGTCTTGCCGGCTTAGGTCCGGAGATATAGACACTCCTTTATGAACGCTCATCGACCGCTGACGGAACTCACCTGCTCTGCTCTATCTTGTCTTTGCCGGAAATACAATCTGCCTATACTAATCCCAGCTGCTACAGCTGACAGGACATCTGTCATGATCCAAGGCAGAGCGGGACATATGAGTTCCGCTAGCGGTCGGTAAATATTCATCAACGAATAAGTCAGTTAAGTTAGCTTTTAGTAGATCTGACTGTCGTTTCTCCAATCCCAAATCCCCTGTACAAGGTACGATATTTATTATTGTGCGCCGCATGGCTTATTTTGATGATTAGGTGCGTTTTATACAGTTGGTTTGTCAACTCATCAGTTCGGGCCCGGTATTTTTACAGGACTAATAGTCTGACTCATTCTCACCCACTTGAAATCAAAACTGCCTTTACAATAGCTTCATTCACGTAATACGTATAATGCAGCGTATAGTACGCGTAGACGAACGGTTTCGCCTTGCTTACCATTCCGTTCAACAAACAGAGAGAAGAGAGGTGAGGCCATTACTGAGAAATTTAACTTCTCGGCACATCCTAACTTTCTGTCGCGTTTGGATTTATCCTGCGCTGACAGTCGCGGCCTCGGTGGGAGACGAACCTACACAACAGGAAAGGCTTTTGCGCAGTCAACGCTCTGCCATTGAGCTGCGAGGTTCAAGGCCAGCCGTAAATTTAATCACACTCGGGTCGATTTTACCCTTCCAAAAGAATGCACCCATGGAATCCATCATTACGGAACAGCAAGCTGACTGCGTAGGCAGGATTTCCTAATTAATCATCTAGAATCCACCAGAACGTCTACTAGGCTGACTTAGGTGTTAGGAGGGTTTGGCAGCTTTGCGCAAAAGCCTTCCCTACTGCGTGGGTTCAACGGCCACCGAGCCGCAATTTTTCCAAAATTGGGGCAACTGGATTAAGCAACTCTGCTAAACCCCCCTAATACTTGTCATTTTTACATTCTCACTTACTTTAAACCCGAGGCCCCCTCCCACAAATGTAGCCTGCTACATGTAACGGGTAGCAGGTCATATGTAGCAATCGCATAGGCTGTTTAGCTTTCAGTGGATAAGGGAGAGGGCTGTGAGGTGAATGCTATGGTAGCCTGACTCACAAACAACTACTTCATGTGAACTTCACCGGCACTGCACGCATACCACCGGGCGGCGGTGAATATCATCGTCTCTGGTTGTCAGACTACCACACTATGCGCTGATATACGTTCACTGATCGTTATGTTCAGTTGGAACCACATGGGCGAAATAACATTACCAAGAAAGACGGGGGAGGGGGGACTGGGATAACCATATCTAGTTCAACAGCCGTCATCAGTCTGTCATACCTAACCACCATCCGAGGTGAAAACACTTGCCTACTGAACAGAAGGCCGCGGGATCGAGCCTCGGATTTTGCGCCTCTCGGGGTAGGCTATGACAGGCTACCGACGGCCAATGAGCTAGAAATAGCCATCCCAGTCT